AAAATAAAATAAAGCACCTCACAAAAAAGGTAAGTATAGGATAGACCCAATTATATGAGCTCATATTCTTGCATAAGTAGACACTCATGAGCATAGTCCAACTGTGCTCCAGCCCTGCATATATTACTACACATAGCCAACAGATTGCACCATATTCTTCATATCCAAAGTAAAAGAAAGATGAGGGAGGAGAAGGAAGGTGGAACAGGGAAGAGGAAAGGAGACAAGATGAGAAGCTGTCTGACATTTCATTGCCAATTTATTATTATTTCTGATATTGATATTATCTTTATTATAAGTATTAGCATTTTTGTTTTATCACTACTATTATTATTATTATTATTATTATTATTATTATTATTATTGATATGATCTTGAATCATTATTATCAGCATCACTATTATTATTATTATTATTATTATTATTATTACTACTACTACTAGTGTTATTATTATTACTATTGTTGTTATTATTATTATTATTATTATTATTATTTACTATTGATATTATTATTATTGTTATAAGGCTTCGTTCACTTGAGCAACTTTTTTGTGGTAGCCACAAAAGAGTCGTGAATTGTGGTGGGCGGAACCTTTTTATCAACCACACTGCTTTCATGTTCTATTGGTCTGTCTAACACAGCATCAAGTACTCTTTGCTGTGAGCACAGAGTGGGAAGAAATGCCTAATAAAGAGTTGTTTAATTGTGAAACATTGACTGTAGAAGTAAAGAAGAGACCATCTCTGTATGATTTAAGTCTGAAGGAATACAGTGATGTCCTGAAGTAATCCAAAAGTTATCAGGATGCTCTTTTAGTTCCGTAAGTAATGTGTGGAATGCAGTAGTCTGTCACTATGATGTGCACCCTACAATCTGTTCTGCACTTGTTGTTTTTTATTTTCTCAAAGAGAGTGCAGACAGATGTTACTTCCATGAGATCTGTCATGATACTTACCTCATTTGTGGCTGCCACCGAGTGGCTCATGTGCATGGTGCTCATACTCACCATTTTTCAGGGTGAATGTTTTTTGTGGGGGCCACTGACCACAAAAAGTTGCCAGTGTGAATCCAGCCTAATAATAATGATAATGATAATTATAAAGATGATGATGATAGTAGTAACAATAATAGTAATAATATTAATAATAATGATAATAATAATATTAGTAATAATAATAATAAAACTGATAATGACGATAATTAAGCTCGCCCAGCAAAATCTGCTACAGTATTCATTTTCTTTTCTTTCTCTCAGACATTCTTGCTATAAGTAGAAGTATTCTGTCTGATCTGTGTAGCTGTTTTCTCTTAAGCTGAACCTTAAGGAAAAATGACCAGATGCGCAGTAGGACCTCAGTGGTAAGAGCTGTTGTTATTTTATCCCAGTGCCCTTTCCATTCCCCTTCCTGAAGAATACTGTGCTGTCTATGGGCAATGTACCGAAGCACATGCCAGGCTGTGAACAAAGTCAAACTACTGCTCATAGGTGCATATCTTTCCAATTTTCTTTTACAGCATTTAGGTTTTCTGTACAGTCTATTTTCATATCATTCCATACTCACAGTTGCTTGATGGTTTTTGGAAGTGATGATATAATTCTATCTGATTACTGATTATTAAAAACTTGGAAACTGCATCAATTAAAACAAAATTGCTACAAGTTGTATATTTTCCAGCCTATAATTTTTAGTCTCCCATCTAAAAAAAAATATTTATGGAGTACCTAAAAAGCATAATAAACTAAAGAATTGCTCTAAAGGAATAACCAGCTTTTGTATTGCAGTAGAGGTCTCAGAAAAAACTTGCTTTATGCCTTACCACAAAACCACACATCAACTCACCTGTCTTATCCTGTGAATGACCTATGCTATACTTTCTACACAACTGTGAAAGACAGATTGAATAATATTTATGGCTTCACTTTTCTCTATCCTTCTGAATGATATATCTGCTGAATGCAGATTGAAAGTGCATCGTGAAATAAGCTCAAAGTATGGTGAATGGCTCTTTTATTCTCTTCATTATGTCATTTTTCACCTGAGAGAGATTATGTGTGTGTGTGTGTGTGTGTGTGTGTGTGTGTGTGTGTGTGTGTGTGTGTGTGTGTGTGTGTGTGTGTGTGTGTGTGTGTGTGTGTGTGTGTGTTGGTGGATGCATGTGTATGTGTGCATGTGTCTGTTGGTGGATGCATGTGTGTTAGTGTGTGTGTGTGTGTGTGTGTGTGTGTGTGTGTGTGTGTGTGTGTGTGTGTGTGTGTGTAAGAGAGTGTTTTAGTGTGTATGTGAGTGTAAGAGAGTGTTTAAGTGTGTGTGTGTGTTAGTGTGTGTATGAGAGTGTTTTAGTGTGTGTGTGTCTGTGTGTATGTGCATTCGTGCTTGTTCACTCATGCATGTGTGTTTTGATGTGTTAGTATATGTATATCTGTGTCTGGGTGTGTATGTGTTTGGCTAGTACCAGAGACTTCATATCACCTCATCTTCTTTGAGGTGTTTCTGCTGCTTTTAGGTCCAAGAGAAGACTGGTGAAACCGACCAGTCAGCAGTCATGTGGCCAGAATGATACAAGCAGGAGGTAGGATAAGGGTAAAAGAGCCTCTTACTTATCTTGAGAGCTTATTTCAGTAAGATCTCTATTTTTGATATCAAGGTATATTTATTTTTATAATAGATGCAACTTTAGCAGTTTACCATATGTTAAGCATGTTGTGGTAGCTTGTTTTTGTATAAAATTTAATATGCAGTTAATGCATTGGCAGTATGAATCTAATTGCTGTTTATAAAGAAGATCAGGGTAAGTTTAATGTAATTGCTGGAATATGAAAGAAGAAGAGTTGAAAACATAATCATCAGTATTAAGACACAGTATCAGAGTTTTGTTTAAAATGTTTCTCCTGTTTTGATTAAGAAACCACACTAACTATTATTTTCCATTACAGGTTCTATTACTTCTGGCTTATTCCCTATCTTGGAGGTCTCCTCATACTGTCCCTTCTCATCAACTTGGTCCAAGCCATTGTTATTCTTAATAGACGATCACAGAATTATAGGAAAATGTAGTTTCATTATAAAATTTAGGGGTAAGCTCAGTGCTTCAACAAGAGAATGGATACTTAAAGCACAAAGCTTACATGTGGTTATATAAATATATAATGTATTATATCAATCCTTAAACTTATTTTTTCATAAATTAATGTTTTATTGTATTCTTTGTATCAGTTTAGCACATTCTTTATCTATATGTCTACTTGCCTATTGTACTGTAATGCCGTAGCCTATAGGTGTATCTACACTGGTAGCGAGCAAGCATGAGCGGATGCAGGCGAATGCAGGAAGTGTTTATAGATAATTTTTCTGCTTGAATCTTACATTTCAAGCATATACTCAATGAGGGTACATGAAAGAATCAATAAAGAAAAGCTGGTTCAGTTAACTCTTTAAAAATTTGGTTCACAGAGGATCCTCAAATGAACCAGCTTTTACCCCCCTCCTGCCTGCCTGTACCTGCTTGTGGTAACTGTGGACACAGCCCAGGTCTTAGTAATTAAAAGAAAAAGGTCTGAAAAACCTTGTGATTTTCAAGTTCAGAAAAGTTAATGAAAGTTCATATGAGAACTTTGAAAAGAAGAGAGACCTGCCTGTGATGTCACATGTGAATAATAGTGAATGGGGAAATATATAATAAGGAGCATTGCATTACTATAACAGAAATGGAAACTACAGTTTTCTTGATATAGTATGTACTTTCACTAGTGAGTGAATCAACTAATGCATGGTTGGATAGAAAGTCAGAATTAGTATTCAGTATTATTGAAAGGTAATCATACGGGTCTGTTTGGCATGTGACAAAGACAGCCTTTTTGTGTGTGTGTGTGTGTGTGTGTGTGTGTGTGTGTGTGTGTGTGTGTGTGTGTGTGTGTGTGTGTGTGTGTGTGTGTGTGTGTGATTATGCCAAAAGAAAGGAAAATTGTTTTGACTCAGATGATAAGCATTTCATGTGTCCAGCCATGATTTCAGTGTTGAAAGGACTGTGATTAGGTAACAGTTTCATCATTTATTCATTTCATTTTTATCCTTCTTCCTTTCTTCTGCCTGTGTTTCTTTCTTTACAATTCATAGAGTGAATGAGTGAAAGACTTGTGAACACTTCCTTCCTTTAATAAGTCTTTGTATACCCACCCCAAGATATTAGTGTACCCTCTGACACAAAATATCTAAATGATAAAGAGAACGTAATAGCAAATATCAATCACTTAGTAATCAATCACTTAGTAAGAGGCCTCAGGTGCCTCTGGTTATGAATTGAAATTTGATCTCTGCCATCCAACCTGATGGTGTATTGACAGTGCAGAAGGGCATCTGTAATCATGTTACGTCTGTCCCAAACATTTGTGGCTTGGTTTTGCACCCACATGCAGCAGCCTCTTGGCCAACTTAACTGCTGCCTTGGCCCGGCTATTTGATTGTGCATAATGGGCAGAGGATGTTATCATCACAATGCCCAACCTGGTCAAGAGCTTGCACATCTTGTCAATAGTCAGGTGGCTCTCTGACTTTTGTGACAGACACACCCACATAGTTTGAGTGTGCTTAGAAAGTGAACTTTTCATTCTTTCTTTCTTTCTTTCTTTCTTTCTTTCTTACAATATGCACCCTAGCTTTGTGTAAGAAATTATATAATTCTGATTTTGTGCTAATATACTAAGTGATTAATTTACACATATTTGCTTGTATTTCTTTATTATTTAAAAATTTTGTGTCATTTGATATTCCCTCTAGGACACCCCATTACAGAACAAAGCCACTATCCTGCCCCTCAAGCTGGCATGATGCTGGCTTCTGTCATACATAACTACTCATTCCCATCAAAACCATGATTTGCGTCCCTTTGGGTTGCCTCGAATGCCAAGCAGTATTCATTAAATGAGTCCACATCACTGAAATATAATTGAAAATAGGTTCATCATTCAGATGTAGAGAGTCCTAGATGTCTTTAAAGTATCCAGGTATCAAAAACAGCAATATTGTGGGGCATATTGTTTCCATCACTGAACTGTTACATTTGTTGTCTGTAATGGATAAAAAAAAAAAGCAGAAAATGTACATTACATCCTTACTTCCAAACTCTTTGGTCTTGTATCAAATTTTCCTTTCTTCTCTTTTATCATCCCCATGGGTGTCATAGTAAATGACATATCAATCATTTCATCTTGTCATAAGGCAGATCAGATTCACATTAACATTCTTTAAACATTTGTTAGCAAGTTACTTAATCCAGCTCATTAGTTATTTAGTACTTTAAGAGGAACTCTACATATAAGACCAAAGATTACATGTACGGATTTCTGTGCAATATACAAGTTTGTTTATGTATGCCTTTATATATGTTGACACATGCTTACTTGAATATATGGGTGTGGCTATGTATGTTTGTTGTGAATGAATAATGTTGAACAATGCATGGCCCCTCTGTTGAAGATGATAAAAGGATCCAGTGATATACTGAATGAGTTCTTTGGAAGGACTTCTACAGTGCAAAGCAGCATTTTGGAATATACTGTTTGTTTAACTCCTTGTCATGAAAGGCTTCACCTGTTGAAAGTTTCAGAGCTATAAACAAACAGCCATGTGTTTTTCTTGAAATGAGTAAGGTGGATATAGGTCACATACTCTCAACTGCAGGTTTTGTAGATCACCAACTTTTCCGGTCTTGTAGGAATGGTAGGGGTCCTACTCACTGCACCAAAGAGGCACGAACTCATACAAGCATACGAGTGCATACATGTATGCTTGTTTTTCTTTTGTGTCTGGGTGGCTGGGAACATGCATGCATGTGCATGTTTGTCAATACACTATGTCAGAGCTAAATTAGGGAAAATAATTTTAAATGTAATGACAATATTCATGTGACTCAAATTAAGTGTACAGGATGATGCATTATATCTATTTGTTAAACACAATAAAAATATATAGACTACACCCACTTTAATATCAAATACTGCCCATACTATCACTTAATTACTGTATTATTGAAAAGAAGTTTCTTTTGGAGAAGAACTGAGATGCTTAATAACAAATGTCTAGACAACTTTTTAGTGTTGAGGTGAAGTTTGAGTCACTTCCATGGTAGTAAACATTTTGTAAAATATTAGTTATGGAAATAGGCATAAGAAATGTTTCTCTAAAAATCTTCTATAATCAAGCTGATGAACTTTAAAAGGAAGTAAATGGCTAAATACATTCCATTTGTTTGTATATCAACTGAAGTGTCACTTTTCAAATATCATTTTGATATCTGTATTTTTTCCTGATATATTTAATATCAGTGTAACTGAAATGTCTCATGTTTGTTTCTCTCTGATGCAGACAGTATTTATGATCTAAATTCATATATGTTAATGTAAGAGTACAAGGCTGCATTTTGTGTATGCATGTATGTGTGAGTTTATGTGCTTATGAGTGTGCATGTGTGCGCATGTGCATGTGTATGTACACACTCATACATATGCATTTATTTTTAGAAAGTGCCAAAATATTTATTTTAATACCTATCTGTGATGCAGGTTAGTAAAAGTGTATTATTTGTGCCAATTCTAGTAAAAAGAAATTATGCAAGAAATAAATTACTTGTATATTTCAGTGTTACAAATACAATGAGAATTATCACAATTTGAAGACATAATCTATATCATTGTGTATGCTTGCTTGTTCATGAGTTTGATGATTTTATACTTTATGTTACTCTAGTGATAAAAGCATGATTTTTTTTACAGTATTTATTAGTTAAAAAATCATTGTAAAATCATATTTGATAGTGCCTGGAATGAGCAAAGAAAAAAAATCAAGATTTCTCTGGAAAACTGCTGTATTAATGCAACTCCATTATATTAAAAGCAAGCATTCTCAATAATAATTTTGTTCTGATTACTTTCTTTATTTTTAAGCATATCAGTAACTACCATTACCAATATTCAGCTCAGGATGATTCGATACAATTTGGAGTATCAAGCTTTCATTTTGTCTTTTATTGTATGTGCAAATAATATTGAAATAAACCACGTGATACAATTCCTTTTCCTTAACCTATAAATATAGTTCCAGCATACATATCCTTTTTTTCATACACACACAAAAAATAAAAATGAGATACTTAATTTCCAGTGGACAAAAAAAAATAAAAAGTCTATCACTAGCAAGCATATATAAGTTGAGAAAATTTATTTGGAAAAGTTAATCTAAATAGTGTAAAATTATATAAGATCAATATTTATTTTTGAAAAACAAAGAAAGCTTATTTTTACAATGTATATCCAGTGCCAGCAAAGGACCCAAGGTTCAAGTACAGTTTCTATGATGTAAATACAATGTGATGCCTGGAATTGCAATGACAAGACACTTAAACACCAATCAGTATTTCCCATAAACCCTGGACATCATATCCCTTTCCAGTTTATTTGGTATTGGTGAGAAATACTAAATAATGTTGGCAGGTGCAAATTATGGTTAAATTTCTAATTCGTAAGGCTTCTGTTAACCATTTATTATTATTCTTAGATACATTTTCAAGACAGACATGCACTAAACCCAAATTCAGAAATTATTATTTTCTTATACAGGTGTTCAGATCATGCATGCAGAAATTGCAGGCACAGATAAACAAAAAAAAGCTCATTTTTAAAGTCAACATCCGTGACAGGAACTGTGGGGCAGGGCTTACACTTTGTAGGTGGAGTCACATGCTCAGAGTTGAATATGCTGACACCCTGTCTATGTGTGGAAGTTTAATGAATTCTTTATCAGTGCTCATAAAAAATATGAGTCTTATAATTCCTGCTACCACCATTATTAGTACCAATATTTTGTCTATGTATAAATTATTAAGAAATTCTTTATTAATGCTGACAAAAATGATAATGAGTTGTTATATTTACTGAATGATAACAATGATAATCTTACACTGTTACCATTATAGCTACTTATATATGTACACCGAACCCTCAGCTCTTGTGGCCAATGGTGTAACAGAATTTCACTATCGTGGAACTTAAGAAGTATTGGGAATAATACTTGGTTCTTTGAATATACTAAACATATTGTGTTGCCATATTTCCCACCATATCTCCCCAAAAAGAAACAATAAGGAGAGAAAGGTATAACTGAGAATGATCAATGATTAATAGTTAAAACAAAAAAAAAGTGCTAGACATCAAGGTCATATAGCACTATTGTAAGGTATAGTAGTGAAAAGGGTTGGAAATAAGTTAATGATTACAATATAGTTAAAGGTTTAAATAAAGACAAGTGTTATGTAATTTTTTAAATGTGCCAGAGGGTCTGCTGTGCCTCGAGCATGATGGAATCCAAACTGGAAAGAAGTTAGAAGATTGTTGGATTCAAGGTAACGAGGAGCTAGTCAGAGGGAGGGTGCTCAATTTATTAGGTTTAAGGAAAGGTAGAATAAGAGCTTCAAGCCAGTGAGGAGGAAAGATGGTCAGTAGGAAAGATAAGGAGATAGATGGAAGATTTTATAGCATACGGTAATGACTGCCATCAGGGTCTTCATGTGTATTGCAGCATGACTGTAAGGCAGAAAGGACCTCAGAGGAGGAGGGAGCATTCTAGGGTTCTGGAGAGGAAGAGATGGGAGCGTGTTCCTTGGCTGTTTTAATGGAATGGAATTGGGAAGAAAGGTAAGAGCACTACTGACCTGGCTGAAATATGCAGCAAATTCAGTGGCAACCTTTAAAGGTTCAGAAATGAGAGTGTTATGGATGTGGAGGACCGGGGCAGGATGAGGGGGATGCTTCCCTCATAGTTTACAGATTTTGCATCATACTGTAGAAATAGGTGTAGAGGAAATAAATGTGGAGATGTAATTTTGCCAGTTGGTTTTAATTAAGAGTCAGATTGGGCTAATGCTCTTTTAAAATCTATAGTCTAGCATTCAGAATATTGATTGTGAAATAGGAGGAATCTTCTCTGTTGAAGCACCAGTGTGGAGGGTTGGGGAGCAGGACATAAGAAGTAGGAGTGAGGAAATAGGGAGGTGATCACTATATGGAAGGTGATCCAGAACTGATCATTGAAAGTCAAGATGAAGGTCAGTATTAGAAAGAAATTGTTTGAGGGACTGGCCTCGGGAAGTAGTGGTTAAGTCATCCCAAAGAGTGTGGTGACAGTTGAAATCGGTGACTATAAGGAATGGTGGTTGAAGTTGAGAAAGTAAAGTTTTAAAGGCATTAAAGTCAATGGGAAACGAAGGAGAAAAGTAAACTGAAATAACTGTGATCTAACAGGAAAGAAGATACTTTTAATTGTGCAAGGAACAGTGGTATTAAAAGAAGATATAGTTTAAGGCAATTTTTTGATGGATGAGTAAAGATGAGATAGATAGAGAGTGAGGGGACGATTTAAAATGATAATTTGGAATCGGTACAGAAGGATGTGTTAGGAAGTTTTCTTGAGACATATATTGGGTGCACTGTAGGAAAATATGATATGATGAATATCAGGTGTATGAGTACGAAAACCTCAAATGATTCACTGTAGTAGAGTCACTGTGGATCAATCATCGGGTGATAACGGTAGAGATGGATGTCTGAGAAATAGGAGGAGTACCCAGGGATTGAGGTTAAGGATCAAAGGATGGGGGTGAAGCTGTAGTCTCAGGAAGTTCATTAAGGAAGGTGGGATCAGGGGAAGGACATTTTGACACAAGAGATTCACGTGTGTCCAGAAGAGAGTGGTAGTAGGGATAGTAGGGAAGGAGGGTTTTTCGGTATAGGTGGAGGAGAGGATAGGGTTGAAAGGGAGTAGGGGGAATATAAAGAGGAAGAGGATGGATATCAGCAGTCACTTTGAATGTGGCCGGAATGGGGTTAGAGAAATCGGAGGAGTGACAGCCTTTCTTAGGAAGTTTCTAATGTCCTCAAGGGTTTCTGGAAGGGATTTGGGTGGGGAGGTTTGGAAAACAAAAGATTTTGTTTGAGGAGGACAAGAGAAG